ATTTTTTTGTAAAAGAAACTCACTAATTTAGAAAAGAATCGGTTATTCTTTTTTTTTGGGTCAAGAAACAGACACTTCGAACATTTATCTGAACAGTAATTCAACAAAACCGAGTAAACCATATGATGAGAAATGGTTCATTTTCCATCTTGTACGCTTGTATATAAAGAAGTATAATTAGTCATTGGAAGACTTTTTTTTAGGTAAAATAGGAAGACTTATAAAAAAAGATTGATAATATCGCGTGCATTGACTTTTCCCATGCATCTCTATCCCACCCTCAAAGCAGTCTTGTAATTTACACATATATAATAGGGATAATATCTCACAATTAGGAAAAATATTTTTGTATTATTGATGATCGCAAGATTATATTATATTTTATCGTTTTTTTGATAACCCGAAACGAACCCGAATCGAACCGATTAAAAAAATATATCCGATTGGATACGAATATTTCAAATCTGAAATACCCGAATCTAAAATAACCGAACCCGATTAAACCGAACTCGTCCGATCGCCCACCCCTAGTCGGAGTTTTTCAATCGAAAGAGATATAAACCAAATTCAAAGAACCTCACAACGGTTAGAGTTGACATCGAGAAACAAACATCGTCGAAAAAGAAAAAAAATAGCAAGTCGGTTACGGTTGACAGTGAAGAACACTATAGTCGGAAAAAAAAAAAAAGAAAAAAAAAAGCAACATGAATGCAAGACGATACTCAAGGTGATGATACTATTGGATTTAGTATATCATCGTCATCTTCATTGTCGTTTTTAGATTCAATCAACATTATTGATTAGAAAAAAATATAGAGTAAAAACTAAAACAATGATATCATAATAGGGATAATATCTAGCAAATAGGGAAAATATAATAGAATATTTTAGGCATTATATCTAGAAAAAATCTTAATCATATTAATAATAATATTCTAAGAATCATATCTTTTTTTTGTCAAACCAGGAATTTCACCTGGGCATTCGGCCCAACCTACATCTCCCTGGGCCCGGGAGCAGCCTTTGTACACACAGCCTTTGACTATGCCTCTCCCTCCCCGCATGTCTGGATTCGAACCCCTGACCTGGAAGAGGAACACCCTCACTTCCAGTCCAGGTACCACTCGACCACAGACATGTGGGTTCTAAGAATCATATCTTCTAATATATATATATATATATATATATACATAAATTTTTCGTATGTTGAACTCAAAAGACTCATTCAAAAAGGATGACAATATCTCGTGCATAGACTTTTCCCCATGCATCTCTATCCCCACCCTAAGCCCTATATATATACACACAATTTTTTTTTTTTTTTTTGATACATTGGGAACCCCGGCTGCTACCTCAATGAGAACGGGATTTTCGGGTCCAACTCGTGCTACTCATTAAGAAGTTGTGTTTAGCCCTCGTGGGTTTATCTTTTTCAGGTTACGAGGAGCGCACGTAGCACACTCGGTGGCAACGACTTGAGAGAGGCAGCATCAAGACAGGATTTGTATTTTGGACTATGGGACTTGTATTCCCGCCTTTTGAATGGTCGTATTATTTACTATTCGGATATATATTGTTTTGCGACACTGATCGCGTGTTGTATTTTCATTGCTTACTCTGGTTTGATAAAATATTTTTGGATTTCATATTTTCACAGTTTTATAATTTTCTTATCGTATTTGTCCATGTGGCACAACCTATATACTATATACGGGTTACGACTGTCACACCCGGGTGCAGTTTCTTTGCCACCAAGAAATGCAGAAATCACAACCTTCACACCGCACGAACCTGATGTTCAGAGCTCTTCACCTTCATCTCCATTCTAAGCTACAATTCCCACCGAGACCTTGCCTCAAACAAACCAACCATGTCCAACGAACCTACCCCATATCCACATATCTCAAAATATATACAATATGACCTCAAGATCCAAAAACCACATCTCCAAGCAAAACAAAAAACTATCCTTAACCTCGACCCTAAACCATGATCGAGACATCGAACCAACGTGTGTTTTGCAGGCTATGAAGGACCGAAGTGGAGAAGTGCTATGACGGAGGAATTTAATGTCTTGCTTCGCAATATAATGGCACGTGGAGTCTAGTTCCGGTCGACCCGTCCTACAATGTCGTTGGATGTAAGTGGGTTTTTCGGATTAAACGTCTACCTAATGGTTGTGTTGATAGGTACAATGCGCGTCTTGTGGCCAAGGGATTTCACCAATGTTCCGGTATTGATGCGGTTTGATCTGCAGGGCCATGAGAATGAGATGAAGAAGAATGCTGCCGAGATCGATGGAATCCTTGAAGGATGGCTCCAAGAACATGAAAGAAGGAGAGCTTTGGGGAAAACTGATGGTGATTCTGATTTCATTGACGTTATGTTGTCGCAAAAAGAACAAGGGAAGCTGTCCAATCTCAAGCATGATGAAAGAACCGCCATCAAAGCTACTTGCCTGGTATGAATACCTTACTCCCCTTGATTGCGTTGTGATACAAGATATAAATTTGACGAACGTAAGCTACTTGGAATTGTTTCGGTTTTCTGCAACGAGTAACATGTTTTTTCGACCATTTCATTATCAGGCAATGATCCTGGGAGGAAGTGATACTCTTGTAGGAACACTTGTATGGGCCTTCGCTCTGCTGGCAAACAACCGGGAAATACTGAAGAAAGCACGAGAGGAAATAGATTTCCACGTCGGTAAAGACAGAAAAGTCGAGGATTCGGACATCGAAAAACTAGTTTACCTACAAGCAATCACCAAAGAAACACTCAGATTGTACCCGGCAGCTCCTCTCCTAGGCCCACGGGAGGCTACAGAAGACTGCACAGTCGCTGGTTACCAGGTTACCGCGGGGACAAGATTAATGGTTAACGTATGGAAGGTCCATAGGGATCCAAAAATATGGTCAAACCCGGACGAATTCATCCCGGAGAGATTTCTGGAAGGAAAAGCATCGGAGTACAGTGTCAGGGGACAGAGCTACGAGCTCTTACCGTTTGGATCAGGAAGAAGATCATGCCCGGGTATCTCATTGGCCGTGCAAGTGCTCCACTTGTTGCTCGCTCGATTCCTTCACTCGTTCGATATGAGCACTGTCTCGGGCATGGACGTGGATATGGGTGAGAGCCCTGGCTTGACCATTCCTAAAACCAAACCTCTTGAAGTTCTTCTTAGCCCTCGTCTCAAGAAAGAGCTCTACGACTGTTGAGGAGAATTCTTATACATGGAATGTTCACTTGAAAAAAAAAACAATATATTTAGGGTTTGAATAAGGTCGAAGAAGCTGGTCTTCCTCGCTTCTTTAATTTCTTTAGGGCAAATAATAGCTCATTATGATTTGTTTGTTTGTTTCCTTCTCATCGAATTTTATTCCTTCTGTAAAAAAAAACTATTTGTACAATAGCTATATCTACGAGTGAATAAAAGAACCTCGTTTTTTTTTCCCTTTTCTCTTCTTTTTTTTTGTTAAACCATTTTTTTTATAACGGTCGGAATCCGCATATAGCTCTTCGGACCAGACTCCGACCGTACCAACTCTCAAGCCGGATAATTGGTAAACGGACAGTAAATATAATTGAAAATTTAATCTATTTTTATATTATGGCTAACATGTATTTTAATTGTTGTCCATGTATCGTCAATCATTTGCTGATTGCACTCTATTTTATTTTATAATTAAGATGGATGTCCCAGTTGAAAACGCTACAAAACACTTTGACAAGTCAAAAGTCAGACACAGTATGACGTCATCCTCAGGTATAGGCCACGCATTGGGGTCCACTAAATCTCAGACTTGGGACGCACCGATTTCGTCGCAATTTCGGCGAAAACATAGCGTTGCATTTTAGGTAAACATGCGCAATGTTTCGTGTCAAGTTTTGAAAAACTCGTAAAGATGATCTGGGTCATTTTAGATTTAACATGGTTCGTGTCAAATTTCAGATGAAAAACGCCAAAGCACACATTGAAGCAACTTGGTTTGGGTTAAGATTGGTACGGTCCGAGTTAGAATTGAAACTGACAGTGTCAAGTCTCTAAGAATATATCCGTGAGCTAGAATCAGTTTGATCTCGCATTGGCTCGGGCCGACCTAGGTCTCTATTGTTCTGGCATGATCTGTGTTAGATTTGGTACGGTCCATGTCAGATGTATTATCTCCGTCCTTCACTTGCAAACAACATGTCCAGGTCTCAGACTCATTCCCATGCTCGTCCTTAACGTGTGTTTACACCTCAATACAGTAAACCTGCAAGTTGCAGACTCAAGAAAAGACATGTGAATTAAGGAAACACATGTGTAGAGGTCAAGATGGGACAATATACACTCGAGAATATATCGAAGTTTCAAGATTGTTTTTCTGAAGTGTATGATTATGATGTGTAGATCTTGATCCAATGGGGAGTTTGTTGGAAATTCGAATCAATCTCAAATATGCAGAAGCAAATATGGAGCAAAGAGTAGAAATTGCGTGAGATGAATTCAGTTTATTGTTCACAATATAGTTAATATTGGTTAATTTTAGATAAAATTTTGTGGTTTTTTCTTAACTCTTCATTATCCGTTACTTTAGGTTTATTGCACATTTATTTTTCGGTAAGGGAATATCGCAAAAAAAAATGAACATTTAAAATTTGTTAAATAAATACATGAACTTCTAATGAATCTATTGACGATGTAAAGGTTATCCTTTATAGATCATCGTAGAGCATTTATGTCGTATAGTTTTTTTCGAAGTCAGAAAAAAATTCATGAAAGTATATTTTTTTAAAAAAAAATTTGTGTATTAATTTGAGAGTTGATAAAAAAAATTGTTGTATCTATACTAAATTTTCTATTTTTTTTATAATAGATGAGTTTTAGTGTGAATAGACGAAGTATATATAGTCTTATTTCTAAAAGCTAAATCCTAAATTCAATCTAAAACCTAAACTACATTATAAAATCGAAAAAAAAAAACAAATCTGTAATTTTGACAAACTTTACAACACAATGAAATATTATCCTTAGAAAGAATTACATTTTTTAACATTTTTTTTATCATTAATACACGAAAAATTACACGCAAAGTCTTTTTCCTTGTGTTACAACATTGCGAAAAGGAAACAAAAAAAGATAAAAACACGTTAAACCCAACACACCATACCATAGTGTACAAATACTACTCGTTGCCTCTCTTTCATTCCAAGTTTCTTCGAGCAATTAAAATGTTAGAAATGATGCCATGTTAGGGTTTTTTTTTTGGATGACGATCACTGCCTCCGGTGGTTGCTGGCTCCACCAGCTGAAGAAGAGAAGCTGCCATCAGACATGAATGGTTCTGAATCAGATATAACCTGTTGCTGCTGCTGCTGCTGCATCATTCCCATCTGATTCATGTCGATGAATGCTTCTGAAACTCCCCATACCTTCACAGACTTATCCAGGCTTCCGCTGTAAACGATCCACTTCTGATCTCCACGTTCAATGGCTTCTCGGTCTGCTTCCACTGCTAAACACTTGACCGGTCCGGTGTGGCCCGTCAGCACGGACAGGCATGTGTGGATTTTTCCATCTCTCCTCCACACGCATATGGTTTTATCAGCTGACCCACTGAACACGAGACAACCTGCGGCTTCTAGACAGAGAACTGCGAGCTTATGTCCCTTCAGAACTCCTCCATAGTTCAGTTGTTTCTCCCTCTCCCAGAAGTTCACCAACCCGTCGCTCGACCCGAAGTAAACGGCGCCTCCGTTCTTGCTAACCGCCAAGGCTGTGACCGCGCTCTCCTGCTTCGTCAGTGTCTGAACGAGCGTGTGCTTCGTGTATTTCCCCTGTTGATCCCTCTTCCACGCTTTAACCGTCCCATCAGCTGATCCAGAGAAAACCATAGCATCAGTTGTCGAAACCACAGAATTCACAGCGTCTTCATGAGCTGGGATCGATTCCAGGCATTTCGAATCAGATATCCTCCACACCTTGATTGTCCTGTCCCATGAAGCTGAGTATAAGAGACCCTGCTCTTCGTTTAGGCTCAGACAAGAGACAGCATCCGCGTGTTTGATCCAAAGGGCGGTCCGGTTTTTCTTCACCTCAACGTAGTTTCTTGGTCTGAGGGAGGCTTTGAATATATCCTTCAAAGTAGGAAGTGTCCCGGAACGTTTGTGCACGCTAGGAACCTTAGGTGACACTTTCCAAACCCTAATCTTACCATCCTGATGACCCGTGAAGATCTTCTCGCCCGAGATCACTATCGCTTTCACCAACCCGCTGTTGCATTTAAACGCACTGAACTCCTGCAGATTCTTCCAAACACGAATGTTCTTGCTGTCGGAGCCGGTGTAGAGGAGGTCCTTCGTGGCTGCTAACGAATAGATATGACCTTCTTCCCGAACAAGCGACCCGATAAGCCCGTTCTGAGGGAGGTTCTCCTCTCCAACGCTAGACCATTGAGTCTGTGTGAATGGCGTGGCCTGGTTCCAAGGTGACATCATCATAGGCGAGCCCTCACAGCTCATTCTGTCAAACATGGCCCCACCAACCGCAGAGGCACTGCTGTTTCGAAGGCCGTACTCTTCATCCGTCTGATGGGGCATTGTGGAGGAGAGATTCGGGTCGGAGTGCATAATGTTTCCGTACTTTGCCCTCGGAATGCTCTCCGTTTCCGCGAACATGGTTCCTCACCTTCGGATCAAACGTTTTCGGGACGACTGCGGTATGAAAATCGAAAGGGAAGGAGGAGGAAAGAAAAGGGTTCGCCGATGCGGCGGAGAAGAGAAATGGAAATGAGATCGAGATAAATGGTTGCTTGAAGTATAAGAAAGAGGTAGGAGGAGGAATTGGTTTGTGATACAAATATAGCAAAGGTGGAGAATGACGGAGAAAATGAATGGTTATCGTATTTTTAGGACTTTTTTTTTGTGCACACTGACATCTCAAACGCATCATTCTTTCTATTATTTCGGTATTTTTATTTTCCTAAATTAGGGTTTAGTTTTAATTAGGAGTGAAATGAATTTTGTTGTTACAATTGCTTTCCCAAATTAGATGGGAAATCAATTGTTGTACTGATTGTGAATATACAACGTCATGTTTAAACTATTGCCTTTAGATGCAAAAAATAGACAAACAAGGTTGGAGTTTTTAGAACCCAAAAATCAAAAAAAATTACCATTCAAGTTTTCACAAAATTACTTTTCCTAAAAACTTGGAAAACCATTTTAGTGAAAAAATCAAAGAAAAATCAAAAGCTACTTTTTTTAGTTTTCAAATATTATAGAATCCAAAAGTCAAAAACCAAAAACTAAAAACCAAAATCATTTGCTTTGATTGGTATTGGTTTTTATTTTGGGTTTTTTGCTTTAGTTTTTGGTTTTTGGTTTTTAGTTTTTGGTTTTTGGCTTTTGGATCCTGAAAATTTATAAATCTAAAAAAAAGTGGTTTTTAGTTTTTAGTTGATTTTTTTCATTAATTAAAATTCCGGGTTTTTAGGAAAACCAAATTTCAAAAAACTTGATTGTCGGTTTTTTCACTTTTTGAAATCCAAAAACTTTGAAATCCACCTCCCATTCAACAACTAAAAAACCCAAAATAAAACATATCCCTATTCAAAGCTTGAGTTTAATTTCGATTTTTTTTAATCGGTCGATATATAACATGCAAAATTAGGTAGTGAATATCGATTCTAGTTTATATTCTAAATATTGTTTGATACAAAATGTTTTAGTGTTTCTCAAATGAAGGTTTGGCTCTTTTTTTTTTTCCGTCTATCACATTTTAATTCACATTTTATTTTTGGATTTTTGGTGTGTGTATACATGATGTGATTTATATTGAATGTATATTAAATTAATCTTTAGTTTCGTATAATTGTTTGAGTATTCTTTGAGTAATATATAACTAATATGACACAGAAATGGGGCTCTTTTGTGGAATGTGAATGGAAATTGACATAATCCAACCATGAAACAAAAAGTTTTTTTTCTTCAAGCTACCTGTATTTTAATTCATTATGCACTAAAGAATTACGTATTAAAAGGGCGAATGAAGAATCCTTCTAAAAGAAAAACAAATTAGAATTAGTCTGCTGTTTATATAGATGAAACAACGTGATCTCAAACATTTTTTTTCTTCGGAAAAAAAAAATCAGACGTGCAAAATGTACGAAGAGATAAATTTAGTTCCAATTTATGATAAAAATCTAATTATATTCAACCCTTTCAGTTTGATTTGACTATATTCCACACCTTCTATATTTTTCTAGTTAAATTTTTAAAAAAAATTATATTTTTGCAAAACCATCACCGAGAAGTTACATTGCATATCTATATTCCCATTTGGAAATATAAAATAAAAAAAAATTATCTAAAAACTGATTAGATATAAGTTTTAAAAATAATATTTTCTTAATAAAAATTAAAATCTAAAACACGGAGTAAGAAATAACTACAATAAGAACATCAACTGAAGGTGTTCTAGGGGGCAAAAACGGAAGAAAAAAATGAATCATGTAAGGGTTACTTTGGTCAACCTAATTCTCAACGGCTCTTTCTGGGAAAATAATGTCTTTCCAAAATCATAAACAAAATCAAAAATTGAGGCCGAACATAAAACCCTAAATCTCCTTCTTCCTCAGATCCTTATAAATAACAGTGTCTTTCTACAATGCCACCAATCAATCAGCTTCGTGACACCAGAGATAATCGACTATTTCTCCTCTTCACCCTCTCGCTCTGCATTGCTGCTTCCGATTTACCAATTTGCTTCTGATTTTATTGATTTTTGTCTCAGCCTTTTAGTTCATCGGTGTTTTTTTTGTTTAATTCCTATTTGATTATCTGAATTTGTTAATATTTTCTGCTAACCCGTGAATCTGTAGAATCTTTTGCGATCTGGGTTTTGTGTTTCTGTGTGGTTTCTTTTTTTTTTTTGTGTTGGATTTTAGTTATGGATGCAGGTATGGTGAACACTTCTTCGAACTTGAAGGCGCAAGCTCGATGCCCTCTTCGAGAGCAGTTTCTTCCCAGAAGAAATTCCAAGGAAAACGTAAGTAATCTTCTTTGACTCTCTTACGTAATCAGCAATTTGACTCTGTTGATTCTGTGTTTCTGAATTTCGGAGTTCCAGTTCTACTATTTTCAAATCGGTAAATCCAGAATTAGTGTTTCGATTTTCAGTTCAATGGTTTTTGCAGTACATAGGCAGATTTTTCTGTGTTTTAACATAAATGTGCTCAAATCTCAAAAATGATGGTTCCGATCCAGTCCTGATTGCATATTTGTGGTTATCGATTCTGGATTTAGAAGCATGGAATCTTTTTCCAGGAATAAGGAACTTCCCTAAATGTGCTCAAATCTCAAAGTTCATGGGTTTTACTGATTCTTTTAAATTTGGATTGTTATGAAATCGTATTTAATATATCTTGGAGCAAGTTCTACATTCTGACTACATATGTATTCCAACAGTTGGACCGATTCATACCAAACAGGTCAGCCATGGATTTCGATTATGCTCACTACATGCTGACTGAAGGAAGGAAAGGAAAAGAGCAAGTGGAGGCAAACGCTGCAGCGGTGAGTTCTCCATCCAAAGAGGCTTACAGGAAGCAACTGGCTGAGACATTCAACATGAACCGAACCCGCATTCTCGCTTTCAGAAACAAGCCTCCTTCTCCAGCCAAACTTCTTCCTACCGACCACTCTTCCTCTCTTCAACAGCAGCCTAAATCCGTGAAGCCCCGTAGATACATTCCTCAGGTGAGTTTATATGCAAATGCGTATTGATCTGTTAAAGATTCATCCTTTCGGAAGTTCGATGTGTTCATATTTTGCGAAATTGTGTAATGACAGACATCTGAGAGAACGTTGGATGCCCCCGACATCGTGGACGACTTCTACCTCAACTTGCTGGATTGGGGCAGCGAGAATGTTCTCGCCATAGCTTTGGGCCAAACTGTTTATTTGTGGGATGCTTCCAATGGCTCCACTTCCGAGCTTGTGACTGTTGATGACGAGAAGGGACCGGTCACGAGTGTCAATTGGGCACCCGATGGCCGTCATATTGCAGTCGGCCTCAACAATTCTGAAGTGCAGCTTTGGGATTCTGCATCCAACCGTCATGTAATTATCCCCTAAATCTTGATTTCTGGTTCATTTTCTTCAACGATACGTTTCTATCATGTGCCCTGAGTCAATGTGTGTTGACTGCAGCTGAGAACTTTGCGTGGTGGCCATACATCAAGAGTAGGATCAATGGCATGGAACAATCACATCCTGACGACAGGAGGAATGGATGGACAGATAACCAACAACGATGTCAGGATCCGATCCCATATCGTCGAGACATATAGGGGCCATAGCCAAGAGATTTGTGGGCTGAAATGGTCTGGATCTGGTCAGCAACTAGCAAGCGGAGGCAATGACAACCTCGTACACATATGGGATAGATCCATGGTATCATCCTCAAGCACGCCAACCCAATGGCTGCACAGGCTGGAGGAACATACTTCTGCGGTTAAGGCACTTGCTTGGTGTCCATTCCAAGGGAATTTGCTTGCAACTGGTGGTGGTGGAGGAGACAGGACCATCAAGTTCTGGAACACACACACTGGAGCTTGCTTGAACTCAGTGGAAACTGGTTCCCAGGTTTGTGCTTTGCTGTGGAGCAAGAACGAAAGAGAGTTGCTTAGCTCACATGGGTTTACACAGAATCAGCTCACACTCTGGAAGTACCCATCCATGGTGAAAATGGCTGAGCTCACGGGTCATACATCAAGAGTTCTGTTCATGGCCCAGGTAAAAAAGAAACACTTGAACCGTAACTCTGTTAACAGTGAAACCATGATTTTGGTTTATGTCCTAGTGTCCTTAACTCTCTCGTGTTACTGGTTGGCTTCTTTGCAGAGTCCCGATGGTTGTACTGTCGCTTCGGCAGCCGGAGACGAAACCCTAAGGTTCTGGAACGTTTTTGGAGTTCCAGAGGCAACCACAAAAGCTGCTCCTAAAGCCAACCCAGAGCCGTTTTCCCATGTGAACCGTATCCGTTGAAGGGTGGGACATGCAAAAGTAAGAATTGTACAGATAATATACCTCAGATTCTCAAGGATGTACAAGCTTTTCAAATAGCTCTCATAGAATTCTTAGAAGGAAAACAGCTTCCTTTCATATTCATTCTTCATGAACGCATGATTAAGAAACAAATGTATGCACAGAATGTAAATATATGTTCAAGTTTCAACCCCCATTAAACTCAATTCAGATCCTATCTTCAATCTGCTTCAAGGAATCTGCGGAAAGAGAAGTCAGTTCGACTATCCTGTTGACAATAACATCAGGGCTAAGAACCGCGTTGATTTTGAATATCCCTTCGTTCTCATCAACCTCGAGCAAATCAAGCTGAGACCGAAGAAGAGTGGGAGGCATGAAATGTTTTCCCTCGGCAGCTCTCTTCTCTAACCGAGCAGCGATCACCTCTTCATTTGCTTCCAACAAAACAAACCTCACCTTGGAGCTGGAATTGCTTCCCGGGTTATAATCAGGGTCAGCGGCTCTAAGAATTTCTCGGTACTGCTTCTTCAAGGAAGAACAACCAAGAGCCACTGTTTCTCCATCGAGTAAACGCTTTCTTAGACTCTCACGTATCGTTTCTAGCCACGGGATTCTGTCTTCATCAGAGAGAGGAATGCCTCGGCCCATCTTATCTGAACATGGGATTCAATGTGGATATCAGTTATACGAGAAACATCATTCGGGTATATGATCATGTAAACATACTGGCAGATACTCCTAGTCTCTTCTTACCTTTGTTTGATGGAGGATGGAAATCATCAGCATCAAGAAAATCAGAATGTATAGCCCTAGCTAGCATCTCACCAACTGTGCTGCAAAGAGCAAGGACGGAGAGAAGAAGACCTGAAATCATAACCTCCTCTAATTCTCACTGTTGTGATCAGTACTAAGAAACACGAGTTGCTTGATTCATGTACACATCATATATGTCGAAGCAACTATGAAGAGAAAGAAACAACTTACGATTTCCCGACTCCACTGACGCCCATAATCACAATGACTTTTCCTGTCACGACAGTTTACAAGAACAGAAAAGAGTGAAAAAGAAGAGGTCGGGGGGACGACAGTGGTCCACAAGATTACGCAGAAATTTACCATTGAGGTCGCCCGACATGACTGGTAAAATTAGGAATCGGCTTTGATTACTCCACAAAACAGTCTGTGGAACAACAAACAGAGACAACCCATTTACGTTACATTAGCAAACTATGACTAGTAAAATCATACACGATATTTCGCTCCAATGTCTGTGATTCTTAAGAAACAAAAATTTTGTACGATCATCATTTCAGTTCATAGAAACACGATCAGAAGACTAGTAAAGTTTTGTACGATGTTTCATACCCATGTCTCAGGGTTCTCAAGCTCCTAAACAGCATTATAAAACATCAGTATGCATAATAATAAAGAAACTACGACAGCTTTGTACAGCCTTTCGCACCCAAGACTCGGATTCTAATGTTGAGGAACCAAGTCGCCATTTCAGTTCACTTCACCGAAACACCGTCAGAAAACGACGGCAACCTATGTACAGTGTTTCATACCCCATGTCTCAGATTCATAAGTTCAAGAACCAAGCTCAAAAACAGCATTATAAGCCTGAAGTATGCATAAAATAAAACACACCATTGTTTCAGTCGATCATAACACCATTGTTTCATGCCCATGCCATGGATTAATAAGGCAAAAAGCCAAGATCATGCATAAACAACATTACGAAGTATGCATTAGAAAGATCAAATACAGAACACCCATGAGAAAAACTAGACCTTCTCTGTACAATGCTTCAAATCCATAACCCGGATTCGTAGGTTCAAGCACCAGAAGTTCAGAGACAACATTCATGAGACTGTTCATCATTGTGGTATCCCGAGTGATTGCCTTCGGTTTCGTGGTTGAAATTAACGACGAACGGTGTTATTATCACCAGTAAACAATCATCAAAATTGCGTCATCGTTTCTCCGATGTGTTATCAATCAACCCATTAACATAAAACATGATCCTCAAATCGATCAGAATCTGTTTGTTTTTTTCCACAAAAAAAAATATTTGGGGCCAAATTCATGTAACCTTTCCGCAGTTCAATAAAAAAATCACCGAAATCTGACAAATTTAATACGAGACACACAAAAAAACACTTACCGAAATCTTCTCTGGGTGGGTGAACACGAGTTATTGTCCGAACAGATTTGATAGTCGATAAATTTATAGAAGATGTAAAAAGAGATGCCGAAGAAGACCCAATTGGATTGGAGTTTGTGAATTTTTTTTTATAAAAAAATAGAAAAACACGAGACTTAATTAAGCCAATTCGAGCCTCTTATCACTAACAATAGGTCCATAAAGTTCAATTAATAGTTTATGAGTTCATCTATATCTAAAATATTTATGATTATATCTTAGTGATATTTTACTATATATAATTTAATTTAATCAAAATTATTTTAAATAAATGAAATCACTGCATAAGTTCAGTTATATTTGGATTCATTTATTTCAATTTTAGAAAAATAAGTACCATTACGTTTATATAGTGGATTCATTTGAGTTGGTTCGTTTTCTGTTTTATTGATTAATTATTCATCTTACAAAAAAATGGTTTCAATTATTTTTATATTCGTCGTGTTTTGTTTTTTGGGTTTAGATCCATTCAATTTCTATAGGATATTCGAGTTGGATCTTGTTCTTATTTCGATTTTAAAAATATGTACACATTTAGTTTTATAAAGAACTGTCTGATCCAGTTTTAATTCATTTCGGTTCAGATTTTATTGATGAAGTTTTCGCTTTTCAATTTTTGTTTGATTTATCGATTTTTTTTTATTCCGCTCATATTGAGAAAATAAATTTTCCAAAAAAAAAAAGAATATGAAAAACTTAGATTGTCAACATTTAAGAATACTAATTTTATAAAAACTTTATTATCAATTTTTTTAGTTTTTTTTTTTTTTTAACTCCAAAACCCCTGTTCCATTGAAGGACTGGGCAAATGTTTTAATTTAAACCCTAAGCCGGTAAATTGGTCTCGGCCGCGAAGGAACAGACGCAGAGAGAGAGAGAGAGATGGGAAGAGAGGTTCAGCCGCAGCAGCAACAGGGTTCTTACGCGGTGGAGCAGCTCATCGCTGTCAATCCCTATATCCCTGAAATATTAGCCGATCTCGAGAACTACGTCAATGAGCAGGTTCGATTTCCTTGTTCTTTCTGCTGTTTGATTTGATTGAAGCAATCCACCGAATTCTGGTTTAGTCGCACTCAAATCGTATGAATAAGCATCTGTTTTAGCGATCTATGTAGCTTTTGAATTGTAGAGAAAAAAGTCTATAAAATTTGTTCGGCTTGTTCCTTCAGCTGTTTTCAGAACTCTTGCTCACTGGTTCGAGAAAGGAAAAAGTTAATTTTGTGTGCAGATGAGGTTGAATTTGAAGGTCCATGTACATAGATTACATAGCATTGTTGTTCTTCTGACGGTGTCAATTGGCTTTTCGGAGATGGTTTACAAGTTATATCTTCTTCTGGGTGATTATCCGTAGTAATTCTCATTTGTCATTGCCCAACTGATTGTTTATTTGCTCTGTGTTGATGTCAGGTCGCTTCGCAAACATATAGTTTGGAGGCAATTCTTGTCAGCAAATGGAGGAGCAGTTCAAGACACTGATTATCCTCAAACCGCCGTGTCTGAAAATACTCAAAACCCAAAGAAAATGATATTATTGAGAACCCGTTGTCCAAAATCAATTTGGGAAACACAACGATGGCAAGTATGGAGCTCAGGCCGGTAGTATCTTTTCTAACACCTGACCTGACATATGTTTTAACAAGTTGTTTGCTTTTGAAGAATGGGAGGTTTCAACAATTCTGGGATGAAGCTGCCAAGAGCCGCCACATAGTTGAATCTGTTCCAGGTAGCCAAAATCTCAACGAGCTGTTCCTATTGATTAACTACTCGAGCATTCACAAACCGTTTATAAATGTCCCGGGTCACCCTTTAGCGGATTGTCTGTGTGTTATTTTATAATTGATGGTGTATAGATAATGGCTAACATGCACGGTAAAATACAGGTTTCGAGCAAGCGATCCAAGCTTTACACAGTTCACGTCCTCAGCTTAACTTACCAAAAGGGCCCAAGATCCGTTCTTGCTGAGGTATGTTGAGTAATTTTTCTTCGATTTTATCTTGAATCACGAAGTCCCGATAAGTGGCCACCTGAATTTGGATTAACTGCAAATGGCAATTGGAGAAAGATTTTTGTTTGGACGCGAGGTATTTATGTCATGCTCATTGGCCTACTTAGCAACTGGGCATTCCTATTCCTCATGAAATTACGGTATTTAGCTAGAATTTCAATATGATTTTTTACGACAGGGACTTGGTTGATTTGATTGATTACAAGTGAGTTTCAGTTGGTTTTTCAGCTTGAAGGCGATGGTAGCGACATGATAGAGCAGGCTAAGTCATTCAATGATTCGTGAGAAGACCCGCCGAATCTGACAGAGGCATGTATTTTCTCCTTCAAGGTTATGGCTCTCTTCCTCATCTCTTCACCTTCTTGTTCCAACATGAGCTTCTTCACTGCCCTCTCCACCAATCCTCTCTCTAACTTGCCTCCCACTTCAAATCCGATCCGCCAAATCTGAGTCATGAGACGGGTATTCACTCTCTGATCTCCCGAATACGGCCTGCAGATCACAGGGACGCCGCTACAAACACTCTCCAATGTCGAGTTCCATCCGCAGTGGCTCCAGATCCCTCCCACGGATCCATGCTCAATTACCTCCTTTTGTGGGGCCCATTTCACCACGAAACCTCTTCGTTCAACCTCAATTGTTTCTTTGAAAGCATCGGGAAACGAATCTATGGATTTGAATCCGGGTATCGAACTGGGTCTGATCACCCACAAGAAGGGTTGCTTGCTTTGCATCAACCCCATAGCCATTTCCATCACTTCCTCCTCTTCCACGATGGCCAAGCTTCCCATGCTTATGTAGATCACCGAGTTCGGTTTTTGCTTGTTGAGCCACTCGATGCAGCTTCTTTCTTCGGGAAATGAGCTCGGGATCAGCGTCGCGAAGGCAGTTTTGTGAAGAGGACCGACATGGTAGACGGGAACTTTCCATTTTTCGAGTGCAAGCAAGATGCATGAGCTCTCTAGGCAGTAGGATGTGTTGTGTATTATTCCGGAACAAGTGTTTCTATTGCTCACATTGTCGTATAGTGTCATCAACTTGTCCATGGAACCATATTCTGTCGTAGGAAGATCTCTGAATCTAAAGGGATGGAAACCCGGTACGATCTCTTCCTGACGAAATTTTGATTCTGCGACAGGAAAAAAAAGCATTGTTTGGTTCCATACCGGAGACATCAGGCAGGAACAAAGAACCAAGGAGATAATATGCAGCTGTACCTTGAGGAGGGAGTAAACCATTTTCCACCAGTCCCATAAGAACACATCTTGAAATCGAAGTGGCTGCACAAGAAGCACTAAACACCATCTTGGGAAGATTCAAATCCTCTGCGACAGATCGGGGAAAATACAAGAATTCATCGTAAACTATGCAGGAGACATCATCTCGGACTGTCAGAAGATCCTTCAAGAGGGGTCCACATGCAGAGTTAAGCTTCAAGATCAAGTCAACGAGTCCGAGAGAAGACTTGTCGGATTCGGACAAGCCGTCGGGGATGATCAAGAACTCGAAATCAGGAAAGCGATCGGAGATGTCGTGGAAATTGAATTGGGTTCTGATCACTGTGATCGAAAAGCCTTTTGAAGAAAGGTTTGAAGCTAAGTTCATCAATGGAGGGAAGTGGCCTTCGAATGGTGCAGGAATCATCACAATTCTTTTCCGGATCTCTTCCATGGCGTCTGTGTTATGATTTTGAGATTTTTTTTTTTTTGACAAAACTTTTGAGATTTAGTAGCTTAATAAATTATATTTTTAAGCAACAAATCAAATGGGAATTGATTAGTAAGTTTTTTGTTCTTCGCGGAAGTGGGCATCTTGCTTCTGGATTCGCGTTGGTGACGTTGACTTTGTTGATTTCTAAATGCGGAGAATTGGATGCTTACCAGCCCATCGTTTAAGTTGGGCTTTTATCAAAAATACCCCTATTATGCTACAAAGACTTCAAGGCATGCCCCTGCAAAAATAAATAAAAAAGTTAGTTCAAAACATACCCTTATAATTACGTTATTCCCATAATACCCATTGGCGTGGGTCCCAATGACAGAAAAGAAGAGAGAGAGAACAGTTTTCGGTTCCCTAGGAAAAAATTTAAATATTTTAAAATTCCCTCCACCACAAAAAGTTGAATTTTTCGCGTGAATTTTAAAATTTTTCGGTGTGACCAGTGTGACCAGTGTGCCTAAGTGACCAGTGTGACCAGTGTGACCAGTGTGACCAGTGTGACCAAAACTAAATTTTGAACGGTGTGACCAGTGTGACCAGTGTGACCAGTGTGACCAAAACTAAATTTTGAACGGTGTGACCAGTGTGACCAAAACTAAATTTTGAACGGTGTGACCAGTGTGACCAGAACTAAATTTTGAACGGTGTGACCAGTATGACCAAAATTAAATTTTGAACGGTGTGACCAATGTGACTAGTGTAACTACTGTGACCAATATGACTAATATGACTAGTGTGACCAAAACTAAATTTTGAACGGTGTGACCTGTGTGACTAGTGTGACCAGTGTGACCAATGTGACCAGTGTGACCAAAACAAATTTTGTACGGTGTGACCAGTGTGACTAGTGTGACCAGTGTGACCAATGTGACTAGTGTGACCAATGTGACCAGTGTGACCAGTGTGACCAAAACAAATTTTAAACGGTGTGACCAGTGTGACTAGTGTGACCAGTGTGACCAGTGTGACCAGTGTGACCAGTGTGACCAAAACAAATTTTGAACGGTGTGACCAGTGGGACTAGTGTGACTAGTGTGACCAGTGTGACCAAAACAAATATTTGGAATTAATATGCGCCTCTTACATATTCTTCGACATATTTGCTATGCATCTATCTCATTTTCATAAAAAAAAAACACACGATTCACTCTAAAAATCATAAAACGCAAGCACAAAACACAAAGTTTATGCATCAAACCAATCTCATGTATTAATGAGGTTACCTTCAGTTCTTGTCATTTGTTCTGTCTTAGACCGACTCAAGAAGAAGATATGAGGTCGTCGGTGAAGATATGCTCAACGAAATAATCATTTTTCGTTTGTTTTTCTATGTATAAAAATGAAATGAGAAGAAAGAAAATGGAAGAGTTGAGAGAAAGATAAGAGTAGAGAGATGAAGTTAAGAAAAAATGAAGAGTTGTCAAAGAATGAAAACAAGATAGGTGAATTCAAAATGAAGAGATGAGTATCACGTTACTTTTGTGAGAGGGTTAATTATGTCTTTTGTTCCTTTTATTTTTTTTTCCAAAATTTTAGGGTTTTGAAGGGTATAGCATGAAGTCTTTGTAGCAAAGTAAGGGTACTTCTGCTATTTTGCCGTTTAAGTTAGCCCATCGTTTTTTAAATAATGGTGATGCCCGAATTGAAAAGGAGGGTTGGAGGTTTTGGGAATCAACTGACCCGTCCAATCTTGGATTGGGTGTATTAATATTAATCAAATCTAATCACTTCTTATATATTTGGTATTGACCATAATTTCGGTCTGGTCCGGTATAGAATGAATTTATAATCATAGAATCGACTTTCTTAAAACTTTAATGCAACATGAGTGAAATTTACAACATTTAAAGGATTCTTTTTTAATTTAAAAGCCTTTATTTTTATACTATTAGAAATGTAAATGGTGGATGATATGATTTGTTTAGGTTTGATTTTGTTGATTAGTAAATAAATGAAACCAAAAAATCTAATATTTAGTAATTCAATTTTTATTTAGATTACTTTGATTTTTGTTGGTTTTTTAATTTGTTTTTTTAATATTTTTAAAATGAATACAAATGTTCAATATAGAGTTCTTTAAAAGAATTACTCGATTCACTCTT